GTTTTTAGTACTTATCGAAGTATCGCGTGACGAATGACAAATTGGTCCGACCTGACCCCTCTTTGATCCTTTCACAAGTTGCCAAAGTACGTGGAAAGTTTGCTAGAATAAATAACGTTTCTTGTGACGTACATGTCAAACACTTTGGCAGATTGCGTTTGGGGATCTTCAAAGTCCTGATGACTTTGAAGATTGGTTTTTGCAATTCTTCGTTGAATACAAAGATTTAACGTAATGATTTTATTGATTCCTTTCATTTGATAGATTAGTAATGGTAAATAAACTGATGGACTACGTGAAGTGGAAACCCTTGTCTATAGCCATAAACTACTATGTCTTCCGTGGTCCCCTCAAACATCACCAGGAAAAACAAGGCGTTATAATCTCTTGGAGGATGCACCAGGTTGATTCTGATTCTTCAAAAACACATTACATAATACATCACTGCATGGCCGTAGCTGGAGGGGGGGGGGGGGGGCATTAATTATCAATGCCCTACCTGTTAAAATAGACCCACTGAAAATTAGATTCGCTTTTTCAAAGTGAATTATGGTTTCTGCCCTACCAATAACTTCATTGGCCTAACTTAAACTGTGATTTTGCTACGACCCTGCAATTCTAAAAAATGGTCTTGAATATATATAAATATATATATATATATATATATATATATATATATATATATATATATATATATATATATATATATATATATATATATATATATATATATATATATATATATATATATATATATATATATATATATATATATATAATATATATATATATATATATATATCCTTTTATACATCTTTTGCTTTTGGGGATGTGGATTTTTGTGTCAAATTCAAACTTTTTTAAGATGGGGATTGTGCTGTTAAATTGAAACTTTTTCAGTGTCGATAGTACAAGCATGTTGTTATGTCATCCATTCGGTCATTTCATTTTGGACGTGGTTCGATTAAAGCAAATTGTCAGCGATATTGATGTTAAGATTTTTTTTTTATTTTTTTACTTTATACGTAGCGAAGCACGTACCGGGCCGCTAGTAAATTATACACATTAATAATAGGTATATAAACAAAATAAGTACTTAATTATATAAACTTAAATACATAAAAGCAAGATAAAGAGGCAACAATAGGTGCCCTTGTCACTAAATAGCGACCTCTTCCAGGCAACCTTAGGATGGAGAGAGATAATTGAAAGTGTCTGGTCAAGGCGTAACAAAAAACTCTAGATAAATTTAAACGATTCTTATATTTATCTGATCTTTTATAATTTTATTAAAATATATAGCATATCTATAACATATTGGTAACAACCGAGAGTATTAAAAGCATCTCTAGAGAGTTTTTGTTGTTAAGTACAGCTTAGTAAAGTCTATGTACGTTTTCCGTTAAGTACTTACGGGCCATTAGCCTAATCTGTGCTTCATACTCCACTAGATGAATTTACGAATATGTTTAAACTGTAATCCCATCCTACTGGATAATTTGTAGAAGGGATGCTGAAGTTTATCCGCCTAAAACATTAATTAAAAATTATAAAGCGTTAAAATGAATTTATTTTAATCTTTTTAAGGAAATTGGAATATTTCCCCCAAAGATACTCATATATTTTCTTTAATTAATAGTGCTCCGCCAGCGTCAAAGATTTCGGAATTGTTCTTAGGCCAGCGTACGTCAAAAGCGCCGGTGGGGTTGCCATGCCATTTTAATTTTATTAAAAAAATGTCTTCTCGTCCACTACAGTCTGGTCAATTCTGAAGGATCGTTTTTCTAACTTATCTCTTAATATTTTAAATTGATAATTACGTGAAATTACTGTTTTATTTATTTATTTATACTTTTGCACACATTAGAATATGTCTACAGGGCGGACTTAATGCCTGATGGCATTTTCTACCAGTCAACCATTACGATAAACAGAGAGAGTAAATGACATGACATGACATTAACAAAAACAATTTGTAAATTAAATAATATAATGTTTGATGAATGATCATAAACTAAATTTAAGATAGTTTTGACTTAAACCTATTAGAAATGTAGTTTATATTGGTCCTTTGGCTTAAGATATCGCTGTGAAACCAAATTTAAAATTTAAAGATCCATCATTTCAGGCTTTAACTGTCCACTACTGAACATGAGCCTTCTTCTTAAGAGGAGTTTTGCCAGTTATTGCCACGTTTGGCAGACGGGTTGGCAATCGCAGTTCGATTTTTAGAGATATTTTATAAGGGACGCCGCTGCCCGTCTTTCAACTATTTAGTTCCGTTAATTGCCTCTTACGACACTCACAGAAAAGGAAGGTCTATTCTATGCCGGGACCATACGACTAAATTTGAAAGACAAATTTAGATAATCGACCCAACTATCCTATTAAAATAAATGTAACGTAAATTGGACTCTTTTTCCGTACTAAGCTTCTCATTTGGGCCATTGTGCGTATGAGTCGTGGCTAGTACAGCCAGCCTAACTCTGCTAAGAAGCACAGAAATTTCCTGGGATATTCACAGGAGCGACCTCACTATTCCGAGAATTTCTAAACGTTGATGGGCCACAGCTTCACATTCCAGGATTACGTGAGCAGCCGTTTCTTCGGCGACGTAACCTCGTCATAGGAAGCTGTATGTGGTTTCTGTTTTTTTTTTTTTTAAAAGAGGCGAATGGAATTGTTTTTTTGATGAGTGAAAATAGAATGGTAACCCCGCCTACGCTAACGGGATACGCTGGCGGAGCACCAGTGAAGGGTGATAGATGAGAATGAAAACAGGCCAGTTAGCCCATCATGATGAATTTAATAGGAATTAACCATGATAGTTTCCAGGGGGAACCGCGAGGTCGACCTGGTTGAGTATATTGCTAGCAGTGGGATTCTCAGTCTCCATTACTAACAATCCCTTTCCCCCCGAATGAAATGATTACCCTGTCTGCCCTACTTATACCGATACCCCACCGGCAGGACCCCAGTGTAAGATGATAAACAAAGTTGAGGATGAAGCCAGGCCAGTTAGACCCAAGTAAGAAATTGAACAATAATTCATCACAATGGTTTCCAAGGGAACTGCGTGGAGGTCAACCAGATTGGGCGTATTGCTAGCAATGGGGCAGTTTTTGTTTAAAGGGTGACAGTGGTATGGTAACCCCATCTGCGCTATCGGTATACACTGGTGGGGCACCAGTAATAATATAGATAATTGATGAAGATGAAAGCAGGTCAGTTAACCCATCCTGACGAATTCAACTAGAATTAGCTGCTATGGTTTCCAAGGGGAACTACGTGGAGGTCGACTTGACATGATATATTGCTAGTAATTAATAATGGGGCTTTTTGACCCCATTACTAACATTTCCTTTCCCCCCGCAGTGGGGCAGTTAGACCCCATTGCAAACAATCTCTCCCTCCTGTATCCCCTATTGTGATACCTAATCGATACTATATATACTTAAATATCTCCGATATCTATTGATTATGCCAAAATGATTAATTTGATTTCGCAACAAGCGAAAGCCCTTGTTTATTAAGCAACGTGACTGGAATATTCTCCAGGTATCGGCTCAAAGCAAGTCACTCCGAGATACTGAATACCTCCATTAGCGAGGACAAGAGGGTAGTAATTAATTAGGGCTGTACCAAATTAAAACAGCGTAAGTGTGCTAACCGGTTAAAAGTTGAAATTTGTTTATCCTATTCTACTAGTATTAAACGCGGGTGTTTGTTTGTTTGTAACACTATATTGTTATTATTATTATTTACCAGAGTATTATAGTAGATACCTATCGGACCACCTAGCATGACGCAAGAAGGTGCGCTACCGAGAAAGACACCTGCGTCGAGTCAACATTTCAATTCCCACAGCAAAAATACCCATTTCCTTTATGTTTGATTCGATATAACTTCACTTACGGATCACACATCGATTTGAAGACACTTATTGTAATAATTAATTTTAGAATTAAATTTAGTTATATTTATAAAATTGTTTTTTTTTTTGGGTCTTCCGCCAGCGACTTCGATAACTAGAGGGAGACTTTGTACAAAAGTCGATTGCTTGGGTACCTCTGTCCCATTCGTGTTTCAACCGTGAAGCAGTTGTGTTTACATGGCTGTGTTTTGGTTTGAAGGGTGGGATATGGCGTGAATTTACTGGGTACAGAGGAATAACACCTGAATCCTCAGGAATGGCAATGCATGGGGGGTATAAACAGTACACTCTGTTATGTCCATGGTACTGCTCATGTCTATAGGCGACGGTTGCCACTTTCCATCAGGTGGGCCATCAGCTTGATTGCCACTCTAAGTTGCATAAAAAAATCGCTATTAAGCGATAAAACCATTTCATTTTGCTTCTTTATCTTTATTTTCTATAATTAAGTTAATTATTGATAACGTACCGTGTGGTCCCACCATAGAATGGACCACGCCGTCCTTTCCCGTAGGTGTCGTGAGAGGCGACTAAGGTATAGGTCGAAGGATGGGCAGCAGCGTCCATCTTTAAACATCACCAAAGTCAAACTGCAGTTACCAACCCGCCTGCCAAGAATGGCAACTATTGGCAAAACTCCCCTTATAGGGAAGGCCTTTGTTCAGCAGTGGACAATTAAAGGTTGATATAATAATTATTAATATTTTTTGTGTACATATCTTTTTTTTTAAGGGTGAAAATGGTGTGGTAAACCCCGCCTGCGCTAACGAGATACGCTGGCGGAGCACTAGTGAAGGGTGATAGATGAGAATGAAAACAGACCAGTTAGCCCATCATGATGAATTCATCAGGAATTAACCATGATAGTTTCCAGGGGGAACCGCGAGGAGGTCGACCTGGTTGGGTATATTGCTAGCAATGGGATTCTCAATCTCCATTACTAACAATCCCTCCCCCCCCCCTTGTGTGCATATTGTAGGGAATTTATTCCTTGAATGGAACGATAGTTTTCATTCATTCATGAATTGTATGAATACAATTAATATGCTAAGAAATGAAACTGCTATTAGAAAAATATTAAATTTATTAAAGTCAAGAACTGATATGTTTACACAAGTACTTACAATGCAACAATACTGAACACAACGACTACATAAACTTATTTTAAATGCATATAACCGATATACTTATATTATATAGGTAGTGTGTCACCATACAAATGTTTCGAGAAAAACGGGACAACTTTTTCATACAATTTTGTGTGATAAATAGTTATGAGTGACTTTATTCAACTTAGAATGCCAAACTAGACGGCCCATCTCTGATGGAAAATGGTAACCGTCGCCTATAGACATGAGCAGTACCATGGACATAACAGAGTATACTGTTTCGCCAATGATACCCCACATGCGTTGCCATTCCTGAGGACTCGAGTGTTATTCCTCTGTACCCTGTAAATTTACTGCCATATCCCACCCTTCAAACCGAAACACAGCCATACAAACACAACTGCTTCACGGTTGAAACACGAATAGGACAGAGGTGACCAAGCAAACTACTTTAAAAGTCTCCCTCTGGTAAAACTCCTTTATAACTTCTATATTTATTTTGTCTAATAATTTCTACATCTGTTTAATGCGTAAACACTCATTTTATTTATTAAAGAATACGTCAAAATACATTTTATGAGTAAATGTAGAACACTGATAAACAAAACGAGTAAGCTAATTTGACAATTAGCTGATAAAAACTTGTCCTGTTTTTGACACTCGACACTCTATCTATATAATCTAAGCCACTTTATTTCTATAACGTCGAACTGCTCGTTGCGCAAGATCATTATTTGATATTATACTTAACACTTTATAAGAGATAAGAATTACGAAATCATTTAGGTAAACTATGTCAATTTACCTGAATTACCTCGACGTTTCGACCAGTGGGGCCTACCATGAAGTGTTTTCCGAAATTTCGGAGCCAAACGAAACAAATTTGATGTTAAAATTACATAATACTTACCGTTTGGGGAAATATTAAAAATGTTAAAATATTGTTCCTTTGGACTTTTACGATAGGATGTATGACGAACGAAATGTTAAACTCCATTTATTGGTCCGAATTTGGTATAAACAAACACACGAAATTGAGTCCGAAATTTCGGAATTTCATTTCATGGTAGACCCGCAGGTTTCATCGGCCATTGTCACGAGTACACTGATGGGGCATTGTTCAAAGATTGTCACAAATGGTTATAAGATTTTTGTATATTTTTAGCATTCCATAGACAAATGATGAAGACCATTGTAACTTCGTCATTGTTGTCATTACAAAATATCAATTTTACAATTTTTCCAAAAAAAATGTAGATTTACAAAAATTTTTACAAACTCTTCTTTGATAGGCCGATAGGCAAAATATCCAAAACACGACTCCCCCCCCCCCCTCCCTCATGCTGTAAAAAAACTACGGAACCTTATAATACGGTTTAATACACTATTAACCTAAACATCTAGTTGACATTTTAACATGAATATAAAAACTATAATAAACAAGCTAACAGCTATAAGACAATTTTATATAAAATGAAATATTATATAATTTTTAGTACACGAATAAAATTTATATAAAAAAAAATAGCTAAATAAACAGTCAGCAACAGTTTTTAATAACAGTTTTATCAAATAGAGTTAAAAAATAAAAATAATTTTATCACTAAATCTATGTCTATCATTCTCCTTTCCATGTACATGAATTCGTAATTTGTGACAACCCTAGCCGCTTTTTAGGGGTCTGAAGGGAAGGAGATTACATTCTGGGAGCATTGCCATATTCACAAAGTACTCGTATTGAATTCTATCGATCTATTTTTAATATGTCATGCTAATATGGGTGCCGCCTCCTACCGCCATCTACAGGATTCATTATTTGTTAACGGAATCAAAACTGTCCTACTCAAGTTTTTTTTTTAATGGGTGATAATGGAATGGTATCCCCACCCGCGCTATCGGAATAGACCGGCGGGGCACCAGTGAAGGATGATAGGTGAGGATGAAGCAAGTCAGTTAGCCCATCGTGACGAATTCAACAAGAATTGTTCACGATAGTTTCCAGGGGGAACCACGTGGAGGTCGAGCTATTAGGGCATATTGCTGGCAATGGGGCTGTCAAATTTCATTGCCAACAATCCCTCCCTCCCCCCCCCCCCCTTAAGTTGGAGATAGTAGCCTCGAGAGACCTTTCACTTCATCTTTCTCCAATTGTTATAATACAAGAGTCAGATCAACGGTTTGGGGGAAGGGATTGTTAGTATTGTAAACTACCAGTCCCATTACTAGCAATATACCTTGTCAGATCGGCCTCCACGTGGTCCCCCCTGGAAACTATCGTGCTAAATTCCAGGTGTATTCATCATGATAGGCTAACTAATGTGCCTTTTCATTCTCACCTATCTGTCACTAGTGCCCCACAAGCGTATACCATCAACGCAGGCAAGGTTACCATTCCAATACCATCCATAAAAAAGAAATCAGCGGTTCAATTGTATGAGCCTGGCATCTTCATCACGGTTGCACACAAGAGATCTAGTAATGGGAATCTTCCCAACGATCCTCCACCTTCCTCAAGGGGTGAACAACATCCGTCAAGTCAAAAATGGAGTAAACATGCTTTTACAAAACCTCATTAAAGCCGTTCGAGCCGTTTAGGAGATCAGCGTGAACGAACATGGTAACACTGGTTCCTTATATCTAACTAGCTTTCGCCCGTTACTTCGTATGTATGAATTTCAGAAGGAAACCAAATAAAATAGACCACTTATAGATGACGTTTTAAGATAAAACAAGTACCAGATTTTAAATTAGGCCTTCAGGAACATTACTGTTCAAATAGCATCCAATTTAGGAGTTTCTGAGTACGTTGGAACAAACATACAGACAGAAAAACTCTAAAAAAATATGGGCTTACCTTCTATTAAGACTCCTCTTAACAATTCCCCTTAAATATCCCCTATGCTTAGACATCTAGTTACAATGTGATTATAACAGTAAGCAAATGTGGCACATATATTTTGTGACAATGGAAATTCATCTCTATACCGTCAACTAAAGCTCGTCTTTCGTTCGTCTCCGTTTGAGCGCCATGTCGTCGTGCTGGAACCAGGTTGCGTACACCCTGTGAGGTTCTGGAGACGAGTGACGGTGGAAGGAGACGGGGCGGTCTCGGGCTAGCACCTCGCGGGAATAGTCTTGGGGACGAGCCTGTAATTATGTGGGCTGTTAGGATTTTCTTAATAGCAAACAAGCTGACGGCCCACCTGATTGAAAGTGGTAACCGTCGCCTATAGACATGAACAGTACCGTGGACATAACAGAGTATACTGTGTCGCCCATTATGTATTTACATTGATGGATGGATTATTTTGCTCTGTAAATGCCATATATAGCATATTAAGCTTTTAGAAGACGTGACTTCCAAATGGAAGAGATTCTTTTTTTAAGAGGTTGTTTTTTTTAATGGGTGAAGATGGAATGGTAACCTCGCCTGCGCCTTTGGTATATACTAGGGAGTAGTACCAGCGTAGGGTGGGAAATGAGGGTGAAGGCAGGTCAGTTGGCCTATAGCAATTAATTTAATTAGAATTAACCACTATGGTGTCCAGGTGGAACCGCGTGGAGGTCGACTTGATAGGGTGTATTGCTAGCAATGGGGCTGTTAAATCTTATCACTTACAGTCCCTTTTCCCCCAATGTAAGGTTGTCGTGAATACATTACGCGGGAGGGGGAGGGGGGGGAATATTGGATGAATGAATTGGATGAATAATGGAGACTAAGAATCCCATTGCTAACAATATACCCAACCAGGTCGACCTCCACGCGGTTCCCCCTGGAAACTGTCATGGTTAATTCCTGATGAATTCATCATGATGGGCTAACTGGCCTGTTTTCATTCTCATCGATCACCCTTCACTGGTGCTCCGCCAGCGTATACCGGTAGCGCAGGCGGGGTTGCCATTTCATTTTCATCCAAAAAAAAGAAACAGTATTCAGCGAGTACCTGGTGGAAGAGCGGCGAGTGTGTGAGCGTGATGTTGAGGCGGTGCGCGGCGCAGGCGCCGAGCGCCATGTCGTCGGGCGCGCCGGCGCCGCACGCGCACCGCGACACCAGCTGCGCCGCGCGGACGCTGAACGCCGTCCCGCCGCCACCCGTGATGTAGTCGTAGCCTGTCGTCAGTGTTATGTGCACTCTACACTCATATTTCATTGATCATTTATCATCTATCCATAAAAAAAAAATTAAACGGTAGTAAAATCGTCATATATTTGTTTATTTATTTATTCTATTTATTTATTTGCACATACACTGAACAAATTTTTCACTTAAATAATTAACCATTCATTAGATACTATATCTTTTTAAGAAAAAAAAAAAAATTAATAAATTATACATGTAACATATGACAAAACAATATAGAAATTAAGATTACACAATTATATAATAACATTATTATTTTATTTTGAAATTAGAATAAAAGAAGAAGAAAAAAACAGAAGATGAATATAGCAGTGTTTGTGCAAAAAACCTAACTCAGTGTATGTCGTAGTTTCATATCTGAAGCTACGACACTGATTTTCAATAGGCCCTAAATACGTAACTCATGGACATATGTGTGCACGATACGTTGTGTATAAATATATAAGTTTAACATATAGACACTGATAAATATATAGGATAGACACGATAATGAATATAAGAAATAAAAAACAGAAATAGATCCAACGATGGGTAACACAAGAAAAACACAAGTAGTGACTTATAGTGCACAGCACCTATCGCTGTAAACTGTAAGTCATAAGTCGTTCAGAAGGACAAAGTGTCGCCCATAAAAGGTAATTGTCATGAAGCCGATATTATAGGCAGCAGAGTTCCTCTTAAAACATCACCAAAGATCTAACTGCGATTGCCAATCCGCCTGTCAAACACCCCCTTATTGGGGACAGTTATTGGGGCAGTGGACAGTTACCAGGTAATATGAATGAATGAATACCATCACAGCTTAATTTTTGAATGTAGAACTCAATAAAAACTTACCTTTAGCGGCAGTTTCCTTTTTCCCATAACCATAACCGTACCGCTCCCCGAGTATTGTGACGTCACTACCGCCCCGGTAACAACTGAGCACCTCGCACAATCTATGGACCCTGAAAATATCTCAACTTGAGGTTCTTCCTTCGAAGACGACGACCTAAATATATTTGAACCAGACTTAACAACTTTCACAGCACGGTTGGTTGCCATATTTAGATTCTTCTGAATTTTTGGGTTGCCATTGTGGTGAGAGGATTAACGAGCCTAGATACTGCGTTACCGTGTCAAGCTGTTCAACTTGAGATAGAATCAACACGTCCAACGTTTTTATGCAACTTAAATGGCAAACGAGCTGATGATTAATCTGGTGGGTGGTAACCGTCGCCTATAGTCATGAACAGTACCTTGCACATCATTGAATATACTGTGACGGCCATAGTACCTCATGCCTTGTTATTCCTGAGGATTACTGTATTATGCCTTAGTAACCTGTAATTTATTGCCATATCTCACTTTTCTGACTGGAACACAGTCCTGCAAGCAGAACTATAAGGTGGCAGAAACACGAGTGGAAGAGTTACCCAAGCAGACGACTTACATAAACCTCCCTTACTCCCAACATCTCCCTCTTCCCCCAATCCTTTCCTCCGTGACAGTTACAGTTACAGGTGACAGATATCACTAACAAATGCATACCCAAAGAGGTTTTTTTTTGAGAGAGAGAGATGATAGGTGAGAATGAAAAGGCAGGATACACTTGGAATTCACCACCATGGTTTCCAGAAAGGATTGCGGGGAAGTTGACCTGACATATTGCTATGCAATGGTAGTTCACATTACTAATAATCCTTTCTCCTCCAAAGAGGGTTAACGTCAAGCAGGTGGCCGGTCGTAAACCCAAAAATCTTGCGTAATAATATATTAAGTCCAAATTCAATCATTTGAATTCATAAGGGCACGGAGATGATGATAGTTTTAAGCAATTTTTACCCCAGTATAGTGTCATCGTCGGCCAGAAATATCCATTTGACGTGTGGCATATTCCGAACTGTGTTCACCACGTGCTTCAGTATGGCAATGGTTTTCAAACAATGGCCAGTTTTGGAGTTCGGCACGCCAGTCTCTATGGCGGGGAGAGATGGATCTGGAGAAAAAAGTACATTACATTTACGAGCACATCAGTTAACTGTAGCGATGTAGTTTATAAATAATCTACATAATCCAATACTCAGTGAGATCCGAGTCTATACTGTATTCCCTAAATTGGCCTTACCAGGATTCGAATTCGGGATCTCATTTATGTAAAACAACCTGCCCATTACTGGCCGTGGTGAGGGTCAAATTATTAACTATTGGAATCTTACCATACCTGGTTTGTCGCTGTAGAACAGCAGGTTACTGACATGTTTGCCCCAAGTTTTCTTCACCACCTTCGCCCTGGTAGAGTGAAATCCGCTCCAGGTCTTCACGGCGAAGTATATCGACTCCTCAGGTATGGCACTACCCTGCCGAGAACGCGATTTTTAGAGAGACATAGTGGCTTCCTATGGGCACTTGAAACCTGACAATTCTACAGATTAATGTGAGCTGCGAGTGTAAGCACTAAAATCATAGACAAACCACACTACTGTGTAGTTACGTGATCAAATTAAAATGAGACTACATTTTCGACTAATAATGACTATTTATGTTTATCATTATTATTTATTTAGGATATTGTAACATTTATTAATTAACATAATATGAAGGTTCTTTTTAAAGACACTTGTTGTTTCAGTCAAATATATAGAAGTATAGATTAAATAATATAAAACGAAGTCACCATTCGCGTCTGTCTGTCTATTTCTCTTATTACTTCTTATAAATCACGTAATCATTTCGACACGGGTACTTGATCACATTAGGAAGTGATTTGGCGGCGGGAACGCGTGTAAGAGAGAGGTACACATGCATAGAACTTGTTTGGTAAAAAAAAAATAAAGAAAAAATGCTAAAATTACTTACACATATATCGAACTGGCGTGGATACGTGGCACAATTGTCCCCGGACACTACACAGAAGCTGAGATCGGGAGTGAGCAGTGGGCCAGGATTGTGTGCACCGCCGTACACCAATTTTGCGAGCTCGAACGCCGGGTCTATTGAGAAGTCAGCTTCCAGCTTACGTTCGCCGCCTTCTATTTGCTTAAGGAATCTATAGGGGAACGATATTTTAATTAACCCCTCGAGCGTTTATGCATCATACGCTGTACCGAACAAAAATGTGGCACCGGGTGATAATGCAACAGAACTCGAATTTGCAGCGTCGTTTTCATTAAATTTATGTAGATAATAAACTCATTTATCCATAACCTCTAATCGAATTTTGGTAATTTAAAAAATCGGCGACGCAGTGAGTGTAGCGAGCTAGCTTAGAACCGCTCCTCGTTTTATACATATATTATTTTTAATTAAAAAATAAAAATTAATGAAAGTAAATTGAATGATTTATTTGTGCATAATTACATGTTACAAGCTATGGGCTCACAGTTACACAAATCGAAAATTTACTCCTACAAATATTAATAAATTAAATATAAACTAGGGTTAGGTAATACATATATAGCAATATCTATATATATTTTAGCTACAATATCAGTATACTGGTCCAATAAAGAATATGTTAAAATTCTGTTTCTGTTATTCAATAAATAATATTGGAAGACAGACTTTTAACATATTCGAAAATAGATACAAGAGGAACACTTTGTACAAAAGTCGATTGCTTGGGTACCTCTGTCCCATTCGTGTTTCAACCGTGAAGCAGTTGTGTTTGCATGGCTGTGTTTCGGTTTGAAGGGTGGAATATGGCGTGAATTTACAGGGTACTGAGGAATAACACCTGAGTCCTCAGGAATGGCAACGCATGGGGGGGGGGGGGTATCATAGGCGAAACATTATACTCTGTTATGTCCATGGTACTGCTCATGTCTATAGGCGACGGTTAGCACTTTCCATCAGGTGGGCCGTCAGCTTGTTTGCCATTCTAAGTTGTATAAAAAAAAAGACCGATCGATATGGGCGATATCGAAATGGGTGATGACCTTTCTTACGCCATCAATGTTCAGAGAAACCCAATATATAGATATCGGATCGGTATCCATATTACCTATGTATAACTAGAGTCAGCATGCTGTTACTCACGAATAAACAAGCTGCATTCTCATAGCGAAACCACTTGCGAAATTCGGGTACACAAATCCGCCTTCCTCCTCTAGATCCTCGTAGAACGCGAAGTGATGAATTATAGTCGGTTCTTCATCACTCAACGGGTAACCAATCCACATTACATCCTACATAATAAAAATATCTCTTAGTAAAGAGATTACTTTAAATTGACGTTTCCCGAGGTTTTCCCGAGAGACTACAGCATGGGGTTTTTCAAAAGGAGGGTAAAGAGGTTTCTTCAGGATCGGCAACGCGCGCGTAATACCTCTGGTATTGCAGATGTTCATAGGCTACGGTAACCACTTACCATCAGGTGGGCTGTATGCTTGTTTGCCACCTTAGTGGTATAAAAGAAAGGACGTAAGTTTTGTTTTTGTACCTAATTTCATTTATTTTTTCATATTCTGCTTCTGAATTATATTGTACTTATTATGACATTCAAATACAAATTATTGTTTATTTATTTATTAACAAGAATTCCATATGTTTTATTTTTATTTTATTTATGAATAAATAAAATAGAAATAAAACAATAATATTCCATAGGACAGCATACTATGAAAGTAACTAAAATTAATCTAGCAGTCTAAATATTAGTATACTGTTTAACCCTGGGTACAACATACGCCGCAGAACTTAATCCAGTTGCAAAATTTTTAATGTAAAGACCCCACTGAGTTTTATTATGAAGAGAGATTCCAAAAAAAAACAATAGAATCTATAAAATCAAGAGCTTCGTTATTGAATTTTACAGTAAAATTGGAATTATGATTTAGATAGAGAAAAAATTAAACATTTTGTTTTTTTTTAGCGTTCCAACATTAGATTATTAACTGTAAACCAAACCACTATTCACATCGTCATAATTTTTGGTTAATCTATCAACTTTAAAAATCAAAAAGAAGTATGATCTGTGAATAATACTACGCCACATCTATCTTATCCATGGCAAATGGAAGATTATTGACATAAACTAAAAATAAGAATGGTCCCAGGATAAACCCTTGAGGTACACCCATTCGCACAAGCGACCCGTTTGAAGTAACGTTATTTACTTCAACTTTTTTAATTCTATTTGATAAATATGATTTGATTAATTTTAAAGCATTGTCTTTGACACCATAAAAAGCTAGGTTTTTCAGCAATGTGTCATGTTCTACATAATCAAAAGCCTTAGAAAAACCTCTTACGACACCTACGAGAAAGAAAGAGGAGGGAAAGGATTTCTTTCACTACACGAAATTTATATACTTAAATATATCATGGTACCACTGTATTATGTTGTAAATAGCAGGATGCAGTAATAAAACATACATGTATTTGTGATATAAAGTAATAAGTATAGTGAAAAAAATATGAAAAATATCTTATAAAAATCTGACATAGAATAAACATAAAAACAATACATTGTTCTAAAAAACCTCAGTGTCAACAGCCAGTATTAAAACTCCAACATATTGTGGCTAACATAAAAACTGACTTCAATTATAACAACACTAGATATTTTGATCTAAAAACTAAACTAATCAATCGATTTTGATAAAATTTCTACGGAACCAATCTGTAAGTATATCCTTTCAGATAAAAAAGAATTTTCCAAATCGGTTCACAACTGACGGAGTAATGAGGTAACAAAGTTAAAAAAAAACAAATTACGAACCTCCTTTTAAAGTCCACTGAAAAGGAGCTCGATATTTCAATTCCCAATAAAACGCATACGATACACACATACATCTATACATATATACGTTGTATAGTATATATTCAGCTATACCTCCTGTTTGTCAGCTGCATCCAGAGCCTTGAACAAATTGCGACACCTGACCGCCGTGTGTGGCTCGATAAATAAGGCCCATCGCACGTCAGTATTCTTGTACTTGTTTATTAGTGGCCGTAACAGGGGTATTATGGTCCAGCCGCCTGGCACTGGGAATTCTTCGTGGGTTATATGCACTTTTGCTTCACTCTGTAGAGATATATCTTATTATTTTAACTGTAAGAAAAACCGGATCGACTTAAATGTATTTTTGTCGAAAGTTCTCGACTAGTTTCGGGATAATCCAAGCCCTTTAATTTTGAGCAGTTATCATTCCTTCTATGTAATTCCTTGTTCTTAGTGTGTTTTTTTTGATGAGTGAAAATGGTATGGTAACCCCGCCTGCGCTTACGGGATATGCTGGCGGAGCACCAGTGAAGGGTGATAGATGAGAATGAAAACAGATCAGTTAGCCCATCATGATGAATTCATCAGGAATTAACCATGATAGTTTCCAGGGAGAACCGCGAGGAGGTCGACCTGGTTGGGTATATTGCTAGCAATGGGATTCTCAGTCTACATTACTAAAAATCCCTTTCCCCCTGTTCTTAGTGTTGGACCATGTTTCGGTTCCATAAGACATCAAAGCTAGTACCATATAAATAAAAATATAGGTACCTTATCTATTTCCAATACTTGGTTTTGAATGTCTTGTTTGAGCCGTGCGGCGACGCTCGCGTGGTACGGCTCTGGCTGACTTACTATAACGAACACTACATGTCTCGATTCTGCAATAAGAAAATATAATTAATAATCTTTTAATAACAATTAAATTGTATTCATATTTTAAATACAAATTTTTAAATTGTATTCCAAAAAAAAAAACAAATTAAGTTTTTTTAAGCAACTTAGAGTAGCAAACAAGCTGAGGGCCCACCTGATGGAAAGTGGTAACTGTCGCCTATAGATATGAGCAGTATCATGGATATACAACAGAGTATACTATTCCGCCTATGATACCCTCCATGCGTTGCCATTCCTGAGGACGCAGGTGTTATTCCTCTGTACCCTGTAAATTCACTGCCATATCCCACCCTTCAAACCGAAACATAGCCATGCAAACACATCTGCTTACTTGTAGAAACACGAATGGGACAGAGGTGCCCACTTTTGTACAAAGTCTCCCTCTAATAAGTATTTAAAAACTAAACTAGTGAATCGATTTTAATAAAATTTCTATAGAACAAATCTGTAAGTATATCCTTTCAGATAAAAAAATAATTTTCCAAATCGACAATATACCCAACCAGGTCGACCTCCTCGCGGTTCTCCCTGGAAACTATCATGGTTAATTCCTGATGAATTCATCATGATCGGCTAACTGGCCTGTTTTCATTCTCATCTATCACCCTTCACTGGTGCTCCGCCAGCGCATCCCGTTAGCGCAGGCGGGGTTACCATACCATTTCCATCCATAAAAAAAAAACTGACGGAATTATGAGGTAACGAACATTAAAAAAAATGCCACCGAATTAAGAATCTCCTTTTGTTTGAAGTCGGTTGGTTAATCAAAAATAAATAGATCTACTTAAGTAAACTAATAAATCGATTTTGATAAAATTTCTAACTATAATTAATCTGTATGTTCCTTCAGATAAAAAAAAAATCCAAATTGGATTCCAACTGATGGAGTTAAAAGGTAAAAAACATAAAAAAAATACAACCCTATTATACAACTGTTAAATATCCTACTGTTATATGTCCATTGTATAAATACAAACATGTTATCATATATATATATATATATATAGAGCTTAGTTTGGTTCAATTATTCAAATAAATAAATAGATAATAATACTGGCAGCTGAGAAACGCACGCGTTGCCATGGTGACCACAAATAACAGAAAAAGTTAATTCTCATTAAAAATATTCGTATAACAGGACAACGTTTTGTATCTATCACAAAATTAATTAAATAAATCGAGTGGTTCCTCAAAATCCTTATTCAGGATTATTCAACAACCTTCTTCTTCTTTGAAATCGGTTAAGAAATGTACAGTTTAACCATTAATATAACACTAATGGTTTCGACTTCACCCCCGTATAGATTTACCTGCAACTAGCAATAACCGGTATGACATTGTTAACCGGTTACCCGTGCGGATAACGTCGGTACCTGGCTGCTAGTGATTGATGGGGACAGACAGCTCGTATTGTGGGCGGTGGCGCTATTACTCATCGTTTGACGGTAATACGCTAGACATACGATACTGATGTGGCATATGATACTGTACTGTTTATATTGACAGCTATGTTTAGTGACTTACATACAGATACATCATTTCTTATATATAGGTATTTATATATAAAATATACATTGTTATTAGGAATTGTTCAATAAGATGCCCACAGCCACTTTCTACCATCGTACGGCTCGCCATCGACAAGGAGTTCATCCTCATGTCAATGCCTCAATGGTCGCGTACTGTGCGGTTTCAGAGATGTTTCCTCCCACGAACACTCAGGTTGTGGAATGAGCTCCCTGCCGAGGTTTTCCCAAGAGACTACAGCATGGGGTTCTTCAAAAGGTAAAGAGGTTTCTTCAGGGTCGGCAACGCGCGCGTAGTACCTCTGTAGCACTCTGTAGTGCTTGCAGGTGTTCATAGGCTACGGTAACCACTTACCATCAGGTGGGCCGTATGATTGTTTACCACCTCAGTGGTATAAAAAAAAAGAATACATATATGTATAAAAATATTTATGTATGTATTTATGTATAAAGTGTTAACTTTATTACACCAATATTACATACATTACAGCACTTGTTGTAGAATTTTCAATAACTATAGTGTAGTAGGCCGTGTGGTCCCGGCATAGAATAGGCCACCCCTTCCTATCCCGTGGGTGTCGTAAAAGACGACTAAGGGACGGCGAGGGAAGGGCAGCAGCGTCCCTCTTAAAACATCTCTAAAGCCTGACTGCAATTGCCAATCCGCCTGCCAAGTGTGACAACTATTGGCAAAACCCTCCAAGGGGAGGCTTATGTTCAGCAGTGGACAGTAGAAGGCTGATATGATGATGATGATATTAAAATTTAAATCTTCAGTCAATTTTACAAACTTACAGCCAAATAATCATCCACATTTATCTCAGCTGTCTGTATATTAAATCAAATTTAGAAGATATTTTATTCAAATTGAACGCTAAATGATATGTGATAGAAATTATATTTCTAATTACATTAATTAGAACGAACGAACACGGCAAAGAGTATATACCTGTCTTTCTCGCAACTGACACATCCTTTCCCTTCTTTATTCAATTCTTTAAAGCCTAACTGGCTTTGGAGATGTTTTAAGAGGGACGCTGCTGCCCATCCCTCGCCTCATCTTAGTCGCCTCTTACGACACTCACGGAAAAGGCCTATTCTATGCTGGTACCATACTACGAAATACAATTTTTCCAATACCATTATTGGTCAATAAAATTTCAATAAATACATAAAAAACATTATTGAAAAATTATAAAATTTATTCTCGTATCCGCAGTTAGAAAATGTAAAAAAAAAAAAAATACAAAATTAGTCTATGAATAATTCATCGGTTGATAAACGCCGTCGACTCAACTGAAGCTGACAGGCGGTAGATTAGCGTCGAACTTCCGAGATGAGGTGCACGAGTCATGATATAATGGTTATGGGATAGGCAGTGACAGACGTGTTCATTAATTGCATATTAATTTGATCGTGTAAGGAAATTTGTCGTAGTTCCATACAACATATTATAGCACGAGGATCCAATAAGCATCGCTGTACACTAACCTTTTTGAAAGCTTTATGTCCTTACGCGTTTTTCAACCAACTTCAAAAAGGAGGCTCTCAAATCTTTTGTATTCTTTTGTCGTTGTTACCTCATCACTCTATCAGTTGTGAACAGATTGATCTAAGTTGGGGGAAAGGGATTGTTAGCAATGGAGTTCGACATTGCTAGCAATATGCCCTATCAGGTCGACCTCCACGTGGTTCCCCCTGGAAACCATCGTGAACAATTCTTGTTGAATTCGTCACGATGGGCTAACTGACCTGCTTCATCCTCATCTATCATCCCTCACTGATGCCCCGCTGGTGTATATACCAATAGCGCGGGTGGGGTTACCATTCCATTATCCATTCCATTCCATTAAAAAAAAATTATCTAAGTTTCATTTTCACTTATCATCGCTCTCTGGTGCCCCGCCAGCAAGTAACGGTAGCGCAGGCAGAGTTACTACTCCACTAGCATCTATCTAAAACGATTCCATAACGCTTGACTAAGCGGCTTTTTTTTAATGGCTGAAAATGGAAAGGTACCCCGCCTGCGCTATCGGTACACGCTGGCGGAGCACCAGTGAAGGATGTTAAAACTAGGTCAGTTAGCCCATTGTGACGGATCCAACAAGAATTAATCACGATGGTTTCCAGGGGGAACCACTTGGAGGTCAATTTGACAGGGTAAATTGTTAGATATACCTATTGTATTAACGTTCCTTTTACTAACAATCCCTCTCCCCCTTACCGAGCGGTAAGTCATCAAACGTACAAAGCCATTTTCACATTTTTTTTTTATACAACTTAGAATGGCAAACAAGCTGACGGTCCACCTGATGGAAATTGATAACCGTCGCCTATAGACATGAGCAGTACCATGGACATAACAGAGTATACTGTTTTGCCCATGATACCCCCATGCGTTGCCATTCCTGAGGACTCAAATGTTATTCCTCTGTACCCAGTAAATTCACGCCATATCCCACCCTTAAAACCGAAACACAGCCATGCAAACAAAACTGCTTCACAGTTGTAACACGAATGGGACAGAGGTACCCAAGCAATCGGCTTTTGTACAAAGTCTCCCTCTGTAATATTAATACCTAAACATAGACCCATTAGGAAGAGTTTACGTGGATTTATCTTTTTTTTTATGCTACTAAAAATCTATACGCAAACTTAAACCGCTCGCTCGCCTTACCATCAACGGCACGTAAATTTTTCATAAAGATACCGTGCCGCCCGGAGCGGAACAAATCCGCGAGCCGAGCGCGCCGCCCCGGAATCGAACCCGGACATGAATAATGCAAATTCCCGATCACCTGAGGTGCGACACATTAAAATCGCATTCGGGCACTTTATAACGGCATCGTGGAAGACGTATTGCTCGAATATAGCGCGCCTCGAATGAATAACATTCAAGTAACATTCTTTTCAATGGAAATCATATTATTTAGGATATCTGGAGATTTCAGAGGAAGACTTTGTACTAAATTCGTTTGCTGCGGTACCTCTGTCCCATTCGTGTTTCTACCGTGAAGCATTTATGTTTGCACGGCTATTTCGGTTTGAAGGGTGAGATATGGCGTGAATTTACTGGGTACAAAGGAATAACACCTGAGTCCTCAAGAATGGCAATGCATGGGGGGTATCATGGGCGACACAGTATACTCTGTTATGACCATGGTACTGTTCATGTCTATAGGCAACGGTTAGCACTTTCCATCAGGTGGACCGTCAGCTTGTTTGCCGTTCTAAGTTGTATAAAAAAAAAGCTGGACGGAGGTGGTGACGTCCGGAGTATTTCTATTTCATACAAGTCGTAAACAAAATTGTGTTCACGGAAAAATTCATTGACACTTATCTAGGACAAAACTAATTAACCACAACTGATTCATTTTTAACTTCAATTTTGTGGGGTTTCTTTAAATAATATAATTGCCCTTTGCAGGAATTCCCATGGGAAACGAAGATAACGGACT